TTGTGAATCTCGATGTGCAGATTTCGTGGCAGGCGCAGCACTTTGTGCATCTCGATGTGCAGATTTCGTGGCAGGCGCAGCACTTTGTGAAGCTCGATGTGCAGATTTCGTGGCAGGCGCAGTACATTGTGAACCTCGATGTGCAGATTTCGTGGCAGGCGCAGTACTTGTGAACCTCGATGTGCAGATTTCGTGGCAGGTGCGGTACATTGTGAACTTCGAAATGCTCCTATGTACTCGCCTATGTGCTCTCAGATTTGTGCTTGTATGTGCTCTCACATTTGTGCTCTCATATGTGCTCCCATATGCTCTCATATGTGTGCTCGCATTTGTGCTCGTGAATCTCGATGTGCAGATGTTCTTGAAGGGTTTTGAATTTCAATCGCACGCACTCGCAGCTTGCCACCGCGGAAGACATGCGCGTCTGCAGTCGTAGCTTTTTGTTTTACAACGACCTTCAAGCCATACTACTCTAGCATTTTTGGCACTACGTTGGTCGCACTCTCATGCTTACAACCTCACGCCTGGTCCCTCTGGTCTTTCACATGCTTCCGCATCTGCTGCTCTCATCTGTGCACTCTCCCATTTGTGCTCTTGTATGTCTCCTCTCATATTTGTGCTTTCATCTGTGTGCTCCTGCTTTCCTTCCACGTGATGCCATGTTCCATCTGTTCCTCTTTACACTATTTGGGGTCCCTTGCCGGTGTAATTCCTGTTCTTTTCTCAGGCAGGCATTTGAGCGATCTTTGCTCGCCCTTCGTCGCTCCGGTTCGGTCCTTTCTCAGCGAAAGTTTGGATGGACCCGGAACCAGCGTTCGTCTTCGAAGACTGGAGCTTTGGGGAAGACTTGGGGTGCAACGCGTGGGGTGCTATTGAAAAAAATAAAACCACACACAAAAAACAAAACACCATGACTTTCCTCATTGAGGAGGGTTTGAACTCCTGTTTTGGAGGGACTCGACTTCCTTTCAAAGGCGACGTTGCTGTTCGCCGCCTGCTTCGCGACGTGTCAGTCACGTCCGAAGCGGTCGCAGCGGTGGCAGAAACCATCCGCTCGTTCTGACACGGTGTTGTGTTTCAATCTGCTAGGGGCAACTAGTCTATGGCATGGCGATGAAGGTCTACCGCAGAGGGAAACAAGGAAACACTATTTATATAAAATAGCTTTGTCACTGGTGTTCAATGTTCTTCTGGCTCAAAACATTTGACTTGAATTGCTGGCTTCGTGCCTTGGCTCAGGAGCCGCTTCTTGGCCCCAAAAGAACCACCGAACACTCGTCCCCCTGCGTCCAGTCCCGAAAACGACGCCCGCCAGAGATGGGTTCACTGGGCCAGCTGAGTCAGGAGACTGGTCTCAAAGCAGTGCCAACCAACTCCCTCTTCTTCAACTTGCCGGGGCTCCTGGGGGAAGACAGCCATCGGCTAGCCATCGGTCGCTGCTTCGGACACACGGACAGATTAGCTTATCAAAACAAGCAGGTCATTCGGTGAATGGATGGGAATCATGTTTCAAAGTATTATACCAGGACCTTCAAAGTGACCTCTTTGGAGTCTATTTTCGTGACCTTGTACAGACCTAAGTGACCTCATCCTGGGATATCAAAGGGTCACTTTAGGGTCCTGGTATATTGTGTATATATGTTAAGTATCGTAATCACTAATTACCCAGTTGGTGCATAACCCCTTGAACCTTGTGTTGGGGGGATTGGTTTCCCCATCCAACGAGAACAGGCGGAACAAGGTGAGCCATTCTGTTTCAGGGGAACTGAGGGCCTCGAGTGAGGGAGTCGCAGGACATCTGAAGCACCATGTGGGCACCGCGTGACTCGTGTCCTGCTTCATCAGGCATTACCAGGCTAGCATGTTGTATGGAGTTCTGATGAGTTCTGAATCAGCTCTGACAATTGTGGCATTCTTGGGTTGTCCACTTGGCAACCTCTGACATCTCTCTTTTGCCCATTGGTCCGATGCATTTGAGACGTGGAGGGTGAAGTTAGGAGTCCATGAGACGTGACAGACGTGTTCTGCCCTTCGGGCAGGCGACAGGTCACTTTCATTCCCAGACACCCCCCTCATCTGGGCATCCACCTGTGAAATCCCCAAGGAGGCAGGTGGATCCCACAAATCCACCACCCGCCTCATCAGTCGACGGAGCTGCCAGTACAGGATTGTGTCGAGCCGTGCCGGCGTGTCGGCGTCGGATGTTCATCCCATGGCTGAGTCGGTTGGTGGGTTTGGCGGCCAAACGATCAAAACTCCATTCCTGATCACTGTTTGCTATTTTGTTTTACATTCTATACAGCCTCAGATTTCCCGGTTCCCCCAACAGCATGCTGGTATACCTTCAATCAGGTCAATTAGTACCTTCCGGTGTTGGCTCGCGAAGGTCGTCACCCTACCCCCCTTAGCCTTCCAGTCTAAGCCCCATAGTCAAAAATAGTTATAATCGGTGCGTCCGGTACTTTAATGGTCGTTCGATGTCGTTCGGGAAGACCAGCAAGTTTGGGGTAACAAGAGCTGACAAGTTGTGTTTGAGGTGCCAAAAGCATGTATGTAGTTGGCCCACGGCTGATAGACGGCCGTGGTGTTTTCTTGCATTTTCTTGATTTGTCGTTTTCTACGCTGTCGTTTTTGCATGTTTGCTTGAGGGGGATGTGGATGCTACGTGTGGGAATGGGGTCGGGGGTGGGGTGGGGTGGGGTGGGGCATGTTAACGTTCGGTTACACTTGCTGCATGAAGTTGATGCTACGTGTGGGAATGGGGTGGGGGGTGGGGTGGGGTGGGGTGGGGCATGTTAACGTTCGGTTGCACTTGCTGCATGAAGTTGATGCTACGTGTGGGAATGGGGTGGGGTGGGGTGGGGCATGTTAACGTTCGGTTGCACTTGCTGCATGAAGTTGATGCAACGTGTTTATGCCCGACCGTT